GTTTTAGTGAACTCTGTAAAATATGGAAGTAGTTTGACCTTGGTATCGCAACTTGATAATATTGGTAGGAAGACTTAGAGGAACGCACCTAGTCTGAAGTGCATTTTATGCATGATAATTTCTAGAGTAGGATTGTGGACGTGGCACATTCCCAGACGTTTCGGTGGCATCGTCAGTGAGTCATACCACTCTTAGCATCACACTACAATTTGTCAAAGAGACAAGTGAAGCCGATCATTTGACCAATTGTCTGCTAAGCAATCGGGGTATCTCTCCTTCCCTTTTGGGAAAATCACCAATCCTATATCCTCGTATCACGCATTCATTATCATAATTTCTTACTTGCTTATTTAAATGTGGTATAGTGTGCTCTTTTGAGCAGCTTTCATGAGAATTCTCCACGCTCCCTCTACCATTTTCCTGGGAATGTCGATCAGAGTCTGCCATATTGTTACGCAGTCTTATCAGAATCTCCCTCTTGCCCCGTAGGATCCGTCAAGTATTTCACTCGACCCCTGCCACCCCATCCGTGCTACTCGAGGCGCTATTTCTAAAACTTTGCGTCTGGGACACTAACTCGAGCCTAAAGCCCCTGGGTAATTTTAATGGTCAAGCCATTGCTTCATAGACCACATCTATGGTAAAACAGGCCTACTTTCAGTCAACTAGCTCTACTCTCCGCTGCGTCTATCCTGTTTCTATCCCTAATACCAAGTCTATTACTTCATATGCCCTAGTCTCATGTGCCAACAGGATAGACGCGGTAGAGACTAGAGCTAGTTGGCTGATATCAGGCCCGTTTTACCATAGACGTAGTCTATGACCGAATGGCTTGACTATGACAATTACTCAGGAGCTTTAACCTCGAGTTAGCCTTTAGACGCAGTGGTAGAAATAACGCCTCGAGTAGCACTGATGGGGTGGCAGGGGTCGTGTGAAATACTTGAACCAGGGAGATAACAGACTGATTCTACGGGGCAAGAGGGAGACTCTGATAAGACTTAGGGAAGGAGGACTGCATAAGAATATGGCAGACTCTGATCGACATTCTCAGCACAAGGGTAAAGAAGGGGGGAGAAAGTCAGGGCGGAGTTTGAAGATTTCTTATGAAAGCCGCTCAAACGGGCACACCATACCACATTTAAATAAGCATGTAAAAATTGTCCTAGTGAAGGCGTGATATGAGGATATAGGATTGGGGATTAGCCCAGGGGAAAAGGAGAGATATCACGGTTGTTTACTTGGCGATTGGTCAAAGGATCGGCTTCACTTGTCTCTTTGACGAGTTAAGTGTGATGCTAAGACTGGCAAGACTTACTGACGATGCCGCCGAAACGTCTGGTAATTGCCCACTTCCACCGTCCGACTGGAAATTATCATGTATACAATGGACTCCGGACTAAATAAGTTCCTTTAAGTGTTCCTACCAATATGAACACGTTGCGAAAACAAGGTCAAACTACTTCTACACAACAAAAGGAGACTGCGACCACACGATAGGCCACACCATCTTGGTCTTCATACCTTCTGTAAAATATGATTAGTGGCTCCTATCATGTTTGTCACTACAAGCCTAGGCTTGATAAGGATTTTTCGGA